ACAATCATAGGTTTCTCGCGTGCCCAAGGGACGCAACTCTGCCCAGCGAATCGCGGCGCCTTAGACGACTGGGCCACCCGTGCCCCCTCTTTTAGAATGACGCGGCAGGGGATTGAACCCCCGACCTTCCACTCTTTGGGCAGACGCTCTGTCCACTCGACCACGGAGGCAGGCATATGAAGTAAGAGTAAGAGTATGTAAGAGTCAGGAGTTTTGCCATTTTAGCCATTACCGGAAATATCACCGTATATTTTACAAAGAATGGTTATTCACAATGTATCAAAAAAGTAAATCACAAGTAGTATTATGAATAAAATATGTTTAATGGTTTCAACAAATTGTAACCATTGGGGAGTCGAACAATTCGCCAACAACGATCTTGGTCTTGGTATTAGCAGGCTTGTGGTTGTGACTATCTCTGTAGGTTGTTATTATCCATAGGGGCGGTCGGGTAGCCTAATGGTTAAAGCGTTCGCTCGTCACGCCGAAGATCCGGGTTCGATTCCCGACATGGGTACAATGTGTGAAGCCCATTTCTGGTGTCCCCCGCCGTGATATTGCTGGAATATTGCTAAAAGCGGCGTAAAACCATACTCACTCACTGTTATCATTCCATCAGTTGAGTTGATGGTTGCAGGACGTCCGGCCTTGCACCATCTCCAGTGTACCTCGGCAGCTCTTCTACGCCTAACCCTAAATTTATGACCACCTCGAGAATTGTGAATAAACTGAACATTATATTCACTGGTACATTTGCCATTATGAAATGAAGCAATGATGTACTTCTTGATGTTCTCACTCCTTTATACATGTTTGATTAAAAGTCTTCACTCAAACAAATTAATTTTTTCGCAATTACATATGACACGTTAAATCATATCACGAAAGTTCATCCTTGACATTTGTGAACAAATTTCGTGAACACTTTTCACCATAGCTAATTAGTACCTGGCTGGTGCGGGCAATGCAGCAAGGCATGACGGCTAATCCGAATTAACTTGATTAATCTCAAATAATCCGGATTATCTGCCGGCACAGTGGGAACAAACTATGTATCTATGGTTTGCGTTTCTTTTGGCGGTGAGTATACATGGAACGTTAACGTCAGAGAATAATCTCGATTATCCGCTGGGAGTAAAAGTCAAAATAGCGGTAAATATTACAGAATGGATTAGTAACAACACCAGATTTGTGTTCTTTGCTTGTATCTTCACCAGAAACACCTAGCTCCTAAAGTCCGATTGATGCATGCAGTTGCACTAGGATTCACTAATAAATGAATGAGAGAGTATATGTTCTAATGCAGCAATTACACACAGGCGACGACGAGAATGGGTCTCACAAATAGCACCCATGTGACGAATCTAACCCTTGTATTCAGAATAACGAGCGCACGCCAGGCTAGCCAACAATCCCAGATCCGCCATGAAACATATTTGTCACTGTTGCATGTACAAAAGATACATCCAAAGGGAGACAACTCTGTTTAAGCCGAGGATATGCGATGTATTTCTAATTCCTATCTCATGCATATTTGATGGGTATACGAACGTTAACATCAAGCGTGCTGTATAAACCACAAGAGCCTTTTGTCACGCTATCGCCATGTCCCAAGATTATTACAGTGATTATATGATGGGCATAACGAGAGCAGGACAGGTGATCATATATATTTAAATTGTTTTGACGCTTGAATATGAATATGCATCAGAACCTTTCCGTGATTTATCATCGGCTTGATGAGGATTTGTATAAATGTCTGTTGTGATTCTACACATGACTGACTGACATTTTATCATTAGGGCTTCGCGTGTATACTCTGATTTTAGTTCGTGAGAACATGTATTTTAGTAAACTGAAAAGTTAGCATAGAGTCAATTGTAACGTTACCAGTACCCCCATGCATGTCATCATATTCCAATTGTCGATATGATGTCAAATCACTGGATTGTAAGGTCCAGACTCGATTTTTTACAGACCGCCGTCATAAGCTGGAATATTGCTGAGTGCGGCGTTAAACAACCAACAAACAAACCGGAAGTAACCGTTTCATATAAATCAGTGTTCCGAAAGTCATAATTCGAATTTCCTGTTAATATCTTATGCCATTCCTTTCCCGTAGAAACAGTTATTACGCGTGCTGAGTGATGTCTGTTTTGTGATCGTCAGGACATTAACAGCAGACAACGGCCACCATATTGATAATCTAGCAATACCCGATTCTGTGACGGGAAAAAACTGGGAATTAAATGTGATGCCTGGCAACGACTAGGGTGTGGGGGTAAATCAACGTTGTTTTATCACAGTGTCACTCTGGGAGACATCGTTTCTACTGTGTCATCAGATCTTTGTAGGTTCATTTAACTCTTGTCTTATTGCTGAAAGCGCGCATCTCTGTTTACGACAATGTTACGACATCAATGGCTGACGTAAACCTCTCCCCTTTTACGGCAGTTGTTTCACACGCAGTTTCTTGGGCAAAGATCTGAGAATGTTTATGTGGCATCTCTCAGAGCAGTTAATAGCTTTGGCGTTACTATAGTAGATGTTGTAATGGCACTGAAGGAGGTCGCATTTCCGGCCGCAGTTCCCGAGAGATCTCGTGTGTCCCGAACGCATAAATCTCCCTGATGCGTGATCGATTGGATCAAACGAGGCCATTTCTAACCGAACATACTAGTGGGGCCAGTAATTACAGATACTGTACGGCAGACCGAAAATTATTTTTCGATTTAGGAACGTATGCACGCAATTTGTGAACCAATGACGCAAATGCTTCCCTTGGAATCGAACATTGATAGAACAGGTATCAAACTCTTGACCTTAATCAATACATTATCTTAAGAAGGCAAAATATAGTTGCGAGAGTAATTGAAGCTTGATCCCCTGTTAACTAAATTCACGTAAACATGCGGCACGGTAAACCAAAGCTTCACACTTTGGCCTCTTTGGGGAACCGAAACCGGGTCCTCGGTGTAAATTCAAAATGTCAACGCCAGAGAATAATCTCTCGGGGTTCCATTGGGTTTAAAAAGAATGCAAATTATACGAATCGATAAAAAAAAAATCAGTAATGACGCCAGGTGTGACACCACAACATTCATACAAAAGTACGTGTTTGTATGTCCCTGTACCCTGCATATGGCAGCGGCACGTAAACAATCGAGTCTAGATCTGGACCAGACAATCCAGTGATCAGCATCACGAGCATTGATCCCCGTCGTTGTGGTACAACGCGACGATGCCAACCAAGTCCTAGTCACGAAGCATGACCACCCTTAATCCGTCCCCACCCAACCCCACCCCCCCCCCCCCCCCCCCCACCCCCCCACCCCCTTCCCCACACACACACACACCCACACACTTACCTTAAAGCTGTCGCAGTGCATAGATAGTCAGTACCCAGTCTATTTCCGAAAACTGATTGTATCCTGTGCTAGAGACTTTCGCTAAACGTTGGCTAAAGAGAATGAGTGTGTTCCATGTTTCGATCCAACAAGAACCGCAGTGACCCCAACAAAAGAAAAGCATATCGTGTAGACGAAATATTTTTTCATCAATATCGGAACATTTGCAGAATAAAAGATCAATTTAGTGCAGATCTGACTTTACATCATTTAAGCTGATTTATTTTTTAAACCACCTAACAGTAGTTTGAATTATGGTTGTCCCACCGGAAACCTTTCATCCGTTTATCTTAGCAGCGAACCCAAGTTTAAAACATGTGGACTTGACATAAGTGAGCCTAGGCGTTCTTGTGAGGATAATATCACGAGACGAAATCGACATTGGCCGTAACTTATTGCCAGATAATATTATGGTGTTCAACAAGGCAGACATTCGCTGACCTGAATGGCATCTGATGCTGCTGCCGACCCCGAGTGTTGACGAGCAGCAAATACAATACTCTTCTTAAGTCCCCGTAGATGATGTGGAGGGGATTGGGAGGAAACTTTCCTTACAAAAGCATTTGTCTGGAACCTTTACGTGGACATCGTTTGGAGGAATCGCGTTCCACCTCTTAAGAACTGTTCCATTCATTCTGTCTGCAGGCACACAGTCCTCTGACAAAGGAGAAGAAACGTGCAGTTTCATTTGTGTAATGGCTCCTGTCAAGTGTGATGTCTTATGCTAAACTGGTTTTACGTCTTAACGACACAGCGGTGTAATGAGAACAGGTGTCCTTAGGGCTGAATACTGACAGGAACACACCAGGTTGTTTTGGAACCATTGCATTGCAAAGTTCCAGTTTTAAAGCAAAGCTGTAGAAAATAGATAGAAACACGTTTGATTGTTGATGCAAATATTTTTAAATGATTTTTTGTGTTAAAGATGCATTTCGTTATATGTCAAGAAGAAAAAATTACTTAAGAAACATGTTGCAACATGAGATTGAAATGAAGTCTTATTGGAATCCCTTGACGAAGAGCATCCTAACCTATTGTCTGCGGAGTATATTGGATTGCTGTGCATCTGGTATCAGTCACTCGATGAATGTTTTTTTTTAACTCGCATACTGTGCAATCAGCTCGCAGCGTGTGTAAATGCACAGGCATGTTTCTTTAAGCCTTGGTTATCTGATAAAAATGAAACAGCTTCTCTACTTTTCCAGCCTCATAAATTCTTTACATGATTGGTTGAGCATTTGTCAATTTCTTGCTCGGTACAATATTGATCCAAGCGTCAGGTATTTCAAGTTACATCTGTTCCCCTAATTAGATAGAACATAAAGACCCTACTAGTCCCCGAACAACAAGACAATTCAGTGTATAAGGCTTTCTTACAAAGACTATAGGACCAGCAACCTCCAACACTCAAACCAGCTGTTTTTCAGCAAAACAAGTGTTGCACATCATGACTGTGCTAGGCAGAAGCTTTTAGGTACTGATCAATTATTTACGTGCATTGTTCTGGGGCAGGTCTGGTTTTGAGCATGCGACATGACGACAGCGTCCCAGATCTACACAGCCGGATGAATCATTAATCTTCTCTACTTTCAGGAATCTGGAAGAGGAATACATAGAATATGCCACACGGATTGAGAGGGAAGCATCGTTGTCCGAGCTTAGTGATTCCGGATGTTCACTGTGTCCTATATGCAACATAAATGAGATCCGACTGAACGAGGATGGGTCCAGAGAAGGTCCAAACGTGTGTGTGGATTGTGAGAAGATCACGTGCCCCGGATGTGGGGAGCTCAATACTAGCTTAACCACCAAGGTAAGCAAACCAACATGGCGGCATGTTCAGTCAGCAGGCACCGTTCTCAGCCTGGTAGTGGGTGGTGTCTTGAATGGACCTTGTAGGGAATCTTTATACGCCTCATACTGGTGTTTCCGATTTGTTATGCAAATATATCTTGATTTTATTATTTGACCAATAATAACTATCCCTTTAAACCTATATAATGCCTAGTTTATAAGCACAAGTTTAGTGACAGTGGTGCTAAGGTTTGGCATTTGGTTCAATACTGCAGGAAACCTAGATTCATTTTCCCTGCGAGTGATCATTGGGTTAATGTAAGCCGCTGCATACTGATAGATTACAGCGTTGTCAAGCAGTTGTCAGTATGAAAATAATATCACAATAGTTTTCTTTACATGCTTCGGGGACGCTATTGAATGCACAGTGTCAATATCAAACGGAAGAAAAGGTCGAAGGCTATGCTCTCGCATTCGTGATCGTGGAGCCTTGAGAACAAGGACTCGCCAGTTTCTATACATTGATTTTCCCCCTTTACATTATATATGTAATTTTTTTCAAACCAACTTTTATTCTTCTCGCAAATTGGATTTCAAATCATTCAGAGAAAATCGTGTAGGAGGTATTGAGTGAACATTTCAATATCATTTCATGAGTCGTCGATGCTCTGAAGCGTCCGGGTATGATGCAGATTCTGAGATATTTTTTCGGACAGCATCATGATTTGTTTTTGTTTTTTTGAGAATCCAACCACCGCGATGCGGCTGATACATTGATGAGTCGGCAGAAAGCAGTTAGTCATCGCTCATCCGCAAAGTCACCAATAGGGACGTTGTTTGCACGTGCGTGTCACGTTACATCTTAACCATCGACTCCAATACATGTCTGCACTTGTCTCGAGTTTTGTTTGGGGAGCCATTTGGATGTAATGTGATCGTTGACAGATAGGGATACATCTGGTTTTAAATGCGTTCAGTGAAGCGTCCAACACAGCTGCGCGTGTACAGGTAGCTCAGTACAAGTCAATGAGATATTACATGTACATGGTGACAGAAAGCATGTGAAAAACTGCATTTCACTGTAATACTTTCAATGTTATTTCGTTTCGTGCATGTATTGATTTCAGTTGTAGAGCGTTAATAAAACGATTTCATGACAGCCGTTTATGTTCAGTGTGTGTAACGATGTAAGATAATCTTGTGGATTGAATGTGAATGGAGTGAATGGTTTTTTATGCTCTTTGTTTTAGCCATTATTTTGTGCGTGTGTTTGTGTGTGTGTGTGTGTGTGTGTGTGTGTGGAGGGGAGGGGGGGGGGGGGGGGATTAATGCAGATTTTATAGTACTAGCACACTGAGATACCATGCCGGAGTATAACATGAATACCCCACTCAGACTCCGAGCTCCTTGTTTAAGCCCTTTAAAGCCGAACGCCAGGCTGGGTATCAACAAGTACCATCTTTTAACTTCTTTTGGTATGACGCGGCCGGGGATCGAACCTCGGACCTTCTGCTCTCCGGGCGCACGCTCTAACACGGTACCAGCCTTTGTGTGTTCTACAGTTTTCTCTATGGTAATCTGATGAAAGGCACCACGTTTCTTGCTTCCTGTAAGAGTAATCTGTGTGGGCGAACGAATAATGTCAGGTGATGCGTCCAGCCCGTACGATGTTTGATCGTAATTGCTCCTATAGTCACAGTTGTGTCATGCGTATTTTGACAAATACCAATGTTGGCTTGCGCTCGCTTTTGATCATAGGGCCAGTACGCAGCTACTTACAGAAACATTTTAGAGTATTTCTGTATCGAGGGATTTGCAAGGACGAATGTTTTTCAATGCAGTTCAATAATTGATAGAAAACATATAATGTACCAATTAGCTTACTGGGCTAAATCATTTTAATGACTGAACGCTTTATAGTTCATTCCCGCATCAAAATAATGAGCTCACGCTTTGGTTGTCATGGTAATGACTATATTTTGGTTATAGACACTGGTTACCTTCATGCAAGTCATATCAAGATAATACCTTATCAGAGCGTGCCGGGTTTTGTTGACTCAAACCTAGATGCGCATGTTCAGTATGTATGTTGTTTCCTGTGTGTTATCTTACTTCCGGTACGATGACCAGGGTTGGCACTGAATGGAATAGGTTCGATTAAGACAGCACCAAATGAGTTCACAACAGTAAAAGAGGTTCGTTGGTATTTAAGGCAATTTGGCGCAGTAATCGCATCAAACAGTTGTCAAGCTATGTAAATCGGACATCTCTTTCGAAAAAACACCTCAATCAGCGAGAGTGCTTCTCAGCACATAAAACGCCATTATTACACTACAACACGCAAACGCCATCACGCTACTGCCTAAATAGTTACAACAAGCAAATTTGGCGTTTTAAAGACCGAAAAAAAGAATTAGAAAGTTTAATCAATGTCCGTTGTGTGGAACATCTCGAATCCCATGGCGAATTAGCAGTGGACACATGTAGCACAGACCTTGTATGGCAGCGTGTATGCGCTAGCACAGCAGGGAGGGGTTAACGCTAGTACAGATGATCACTAGGGGCACTCACTATCGATCTTTTAACAAAATCGATATGGGCGCTTCGTGAAGGGTTTCCATAGCTTGAATTAAAGCAGATTCCCTAACACAGGGCGTTCTGGGAGGTTGTTTATTTCTGCACATTGACAGATTGACTGAAATACGTTGCGAGGTTTGGACTCTACTACTGAAGGTTTCTGTGTGAGGTTACCGCTCTGTTTTGTCTGTTGTTTAAATTGACTGGAAGCCGTTGAAATCGCCCTTTCGGTCTTTGTATGTGTGGGTCACAGTCATAATTATATTTGCCCATTTATTGTAAATAAGGCTCTATTTAAAACATAAATACAGTAAACTACGTTTATAACGAACACGCTTATGACGAACTGACGGATATAACGAACATATTTTGTGTCCCGACCTTTTGTTGTTCATACATGTATATATGCTTTTAAAGAACCACGTTTATATCAAACTAAAATCAGTGGTCCCTTTGAATTCGTTATGACCATAGTTTACTGTATAATTTGATTAATTTAAATCCCGTCTGGTGAAGTAAGAGATCTTAAAACACATGTTATTGCGAGTGCATGTCTTTAAAGCTACAGGGGGCACGAGTGGCCCAGTCGTCTAAGTCGTCTTTGCAGAGTTGCGTCCCTTGGGCACGCCAGAAACCTATGGTTGTGGATTCGAATCCCGGTTCGCCCTGATTATGTTTCTAGGTTTGTCAGCACCTACCCGTGCTCGTGGGTTTCACTGACGTGGTAAACGCCTGAGACCTGCATCACTTGGGGCTTTCCTCCCACATTAAGCTGACACGCCGTGATATAACTGGAATAATGTTAAAAGCGGCGTTAAACTCAACTCATTCACTCACTTTAAAGCTACAGAGATGAAAAAGTCTGATAGATTATGTAATTATCGTCACTGAATTCCCCCAAGTCGTATTTCATTATAAAACATTATTCTATCATACGATAGAGCGTGATAAAAAATCTCAATTACCATATTGGATCTTTTCTATTTTGTTGTGTAAATCAACACCTAAGTAACGTAACGTTTCGATTAGACTCACCCTTCACCGTATCATTAACATCGAGTACATTTTCATCATTATTAAATCGATAATCTCATTGAATTGATGTGTTCAGTCTGACAATGTAAGAACGACGTGTTTTATTGTTTGTTTTGACCCCGGGATGTAAGTAATTGCGACATAAATAGATTTTCCTCATCCCTATATTGGCGTTTCGCTAGGCTGGCGACGTTCGGGGTTGTATCAACAATGGCGGCTGGAAGAAGTTCAACGCGTCGCACAAAACAAATCGGCTGAGGAAAATAATCAATAAAAGCAGGAGTACATGTTTGTGTTACAAGGAATTAGTGGAACCATCGTGTCCGGTGTATGGCCTGAACTATTAGCACCTTGCACTGTATCTCATGCAGCTGATGGTATAAGCGAACCCGGTGTTCATGTGAAACTTGCATTCGTGACCAACTCGTGTTATTCCGGGACAAGCCGAATAGCGACTCGTGCCCCTCTCGTGGCCATTTTTGCGACCGGGTTCCGTCTTAGCGCAAACGGGCATACCTAAAACAATGGTCAACTCGTTGCGTAATGGTTCACACATTTTCCCCATATATTATATATATTTCAGATGCAATTAAAGCGCATCGGGACGTGCGGAATTATACAGTATGATTGAACACATTTAACTGTGCCTTTGGTATATTTTTAGATGCAAGACATATGTAAAATCAAAATTATTGACGAAGAACTTGAAATCATACGCGCATTCTGATTAGTTTGTCGTATTTTCGCACATCGATAAGGGGACGAGTCTTCTTGCAGGTAACGGAAAGGGACGAGTGTTGACGAATGGTGAAACTTGATGTGTATTTTAAACCGGCGATTTTTTTATTGGTTACAGAAGTGGTAGAATATGCATGGTTCATATAGCACTCCGGTCTCTCGAATCTAGCGGGACCGTGTTGTAACTTCGAGTTATCTGTACATTCGAGATAGCGAGGCATGCACAGCCAGACATATCAAGTTTGTTTGTTTGTTTGTTGTTTATCGCCGCACTCAGCAACATTCGACCAATGTGGCTCGGTCTGCAAATAATCGAGTCTAGACCAGACAATCCTGTGATTGACAATATGAGCATCGATCCACGCAAATAGGATACGATGACATGGATCAACCAAGTCAGCGAGCCTGACCACCCGATCCCGTTAGTCGCCTCTTAAGACAAGCATAGTCACATTTTAATGCAAGCATGGGTTGCTAAGACCTATTTTACCCCGAATCTTCACAAGTAACTTTTAACTGTAAATGAAAAGAACATTTATTTTCACGTGTTTGCGATGACAAAGTTCGTACCGAGATCAAGGTTCGAAATAGCGCTGTATATATTATTACCTCGATTTCGAGATGAACGGTCGGAATTATATGTATTTATATAGTGCGGCGGTCGATGGC